AATTTTAGAATAGAATTACAGCAGAGAGGCGCCTGGGGAGCTCCATCTGTTAAGCGTCCAACTTCTGCTCAGGTCATGATCTTGCAGGTCATGAGTTCAAACCCCATCTCGGGCTCTGTGCTGAGCTCAGAGCCTGGAGCCTGCTTCAGATTCTGTGTCTCCCTCTCTCTCTACCCCTCCTCTACTCCCGTTGTGTCTCTGTCTCTCCCAAAAATAAATAAAGGTTAAAAAAATTAATTAAAAAAAAGAATAGAATCACAGCAGGGATATCTTTTGGCCCCTTTCTGGGGTTAACCTGTATCACATGACTGCTTTAAACCATTTCCGGGTGAGCCCAGGTCATGTGCCCACGCCACACTGAGCAGGTAAGTATTTCCCGTAAGCTGAGGAGACAGTTTTACTGTCAAAACGAGGCAAGTCCTCTGCAGACGTAACGGCTCCAGTCCCGTCTTCTACGGCTGAAGCCATGCCGACGAGGCAGCGATGGCAGCCTGGGCCTCAGCCCCACCGGGCGGGCCGGTCGCTGACGCATGGCTGCGGGCCCTCAGCGCCTTCCACAGCCGGCTCCCGCGGTAACGCGGGCAGGAAGCTTAGTCTCCAACCGCGCACGTTGCTGCGCCCGTCCTGGGGCCACAGGCCTGAGTCGCGGTGCCTGGCCCGAGCCTGGCTCTAATGCTACGACCACGCCCTTGTGTCCAGGAACAAGCACTCGGAACGCCATCCTGGCCCGCACGAGCTGCGTCAGCCCTCTCCAAGGGAAATGAGGGACGCGGGCTTTGTGGGCGGGCGGCCGTCCCGCGCGGTGTGGACCCCCGAGCGTCCCACACGGGTAGTCTCAGCCCCGCCGTGCTCTGCAGACTCACTGAACACCAACCACGAGGTCCTCCACCTTTAATCCGCATCTCTGCTCATCTTCTCACGCGATGTGCAGGTCTCAGTCTCCACTGCTTAACTTTCGTCAACAGCTTGCTCCTGAGACATCACACCCATGCCTGACTTATACGCAGCCCACGCACACACACAACGCCAGACACTCGCCACTGCATGGCGGGCACAATCCAGACCGTCAGAGTGCCTGTCGTGGTCCGTGAGGCCTGCCATGACACAATACCAGAGATAGGGGGACCTAAAGAGCAAACGTCTCCCCCTCACAGCTCTGGAGGTGAAGTCCGAGACCAGGGTGCCAGCACGCTTGGGCCGTTGGGAAGGGCCCTCCTCCTGGTTCCCAGGGTGTCCTCACAGGGAGGAGACAAAGAGCTCTGGCCCCTTCATCCAGAGTCAAATTGCGGCCAAAAGAATTTGCAAGGTACCGAGAGGGTGTACTTGTTTGTAACTGGATTCAGGAAAAGGCTGCAGTGGGGAGGTATTCCTTGAATTAAATCTTGAAAGATGACTAAGTAACAGGCAGTTGGGGCACCAGAGACATTTCAAGCAGAAAGATGAACCCAGAACAAAGGAATAAAAGCCTGTCACACACTTCTGCGCCCCCAAGTGCTCGTGCAAGGTGCGCGGGGCTGGAGGACTGGAGAAACAGGAACCCACGGCAAAGTCTGGAGACGGAGCAGCCCCAGACGGCCCTGCAAAGTCACACAAAGCAAGCAAGCTGGGTTCTGTCCCGTGAGCGACGGGGAGCAAAGCAGACTGTGAGATACACCGACTTGCCAAATCTTCCAAAGGGATTTCCTCCCATTTGGCCAGGGGTGCTGATCTGCCGGGGGGTAAGGACCCCATCCATGGGGGCCCGGGGCTTCCTACACCTGATCACACGCAGTTTCACTTTCCAGTTTTTAATGAGATCAGGCACGAGTGACGTGATGAATATGTCACCAGGACAAACAGCTTATTTCTGAAGCGGATGGTCTCTGAGAACCATCAGAACACGTTTACTCAGGTGGGTAGCATGTAAAACCAGCATTTTTTAGATAGCCGCTGACCACATGGGCAAGAGAACTGGCAGCAGGCCTCCGGCCAGGCTCGGTTCACGTGCAGAGGTGGCTTCCCGATGCAGGTACGTCGCCGAAACACTCAGCATTACAGAGTTAACCTTATTTGCCTAAACGTCAGGCTACCTGCTTCTACTCAGTCTGTTTCATCTAATGTTTTTAAACAGCTGAGGGATTAAAGTGCTAACTAACATCACAGTATTTTTTCAATCAGTGCACTGTTTGCAAATGTAGGTGTAAAATGTCTCTAAGAAGAAAATGGGGATTTACTGAGTATTTAGGATGTGCCAGCCATGGGCTCCAGGCTGTTGTAACCATCAGCTCAGCTAAAATATCACCAACAAGCCAAGGAGGAGCAAATTTTACATCCATTTCAAAGATATGAAACTGAGGCCCACGGAACCAAGGTTACACACTAGTAAAGAATGAACCCAAAGTTCTAACTTCCATGAGGGGCTGTCTTGGTGACACAGGCTTCCATTCTGGTGTCTCCGTGTGGAGAACAAGCACGTTTCCTCCGCAGGCCCAATAACCTGTCAATACCAGCCCACCCAGCACCACTGACAAAACTCCCGACAACATGGGGATCTAGATGCACACCAAAGTCCTAGAATGTTCTGTTAGAATCAGGATGTTCCATTATGCAAATTTAGACACTGACAGTTCCGGATGAAGATGAAGAATTATTTAAAAAGGCCTTTCCATACTACATGGCAATGAGAAATAATGAAATCTGGCCATGTGTAGCAACATGGATGGACCTTGAGGGTGTTATGCTGAGCGAAATAAGTCAGGCAGAGAAGGACAAATATCATATGTTTGCACGTATAGGAGGATTAGGAGGAACTTGACGGAGGAACAAGGGGGAGAAGAAGGGCGGAAATGGTGGGGGAAAAGGAGAGAGGCAAACCATGAGAGACTCTTGAATGCTGACAAAAACTGAGGACTGATGGATGTGGGGGGGAGGGGGGGGTGGGCATGGAGGAGGGCACTTTGGGGATGAGCACTGAGTGTTATGTGGAAACTAATTTGACAATAAACTATTTGTAAAAATAAAATAAAATAAAATAAAAAGGCCTTTCCAGGGGCACCTGGGTGGCTCAGTTGGTAAAGCAGCTGGCTTCGGCTCCGGTCGTGATCTCACAGTTCATGGGTTCTAGCCCTGCGTCGGGCTCTGTGCTGACAGCTCAGAGCCTGGAGCCTGCTTCTGAGTCTATGTCTCCCTCTCTCTCTGCCCCTCCCCTGCTCATGCTCTGTCTCTTTCTGTCTCTCAAAACTGAATATACGTTTAAAAAAAAAACTTTAATAAAAAGACTCTTCTTGTCTTTCATTTAAAAAAAAAAAGTACCATGCCCTTGACCCCAAATCAAACACATTCCACTCTGTCTCACTCACAGAAAGGCCCAGCAAGGACCCTGACTTCCCGAGTCTGTATGAGCACCGAGGAGGCGGGGCACACAGCAGAACCACCACTCATTTCCGTGGGGGCTGCCTCCCGGCTCTGGGAAATTCCACGTAGGAGCATGAGCACCTTCTCAGGCCACGGCCTAGCCTTCAGGACGGGGCGGCCCACCAACCTTGCCCAATGAACTCCACGAGTGCCCCCCAGAACCTCTTCTGTGCACAGAGACCCTTCTGTCCCGCCCCCATCCCCCGCCCGGCACACGATTCCCACCTTGGCAACAAAACCATCTCAGGAGGCCGAGCGGCCCCCACCTGCTGGGAAACGCAAGGAGAAAGGGGGCTCACCTCTGCTGCACCACACACTTGCGCGTGTTGTTTTCCTAACAACCTAACACCGTGGGTTTTACAACCTCTTAATTATTTTTTAATAAGCAAACTGATGCCCAAGGAGGTAAGGCGGCTTGCCCATGTGACTCTGCAGGCCGCGCACAGCCTGGGGGAGGCGGCCAGGCCAGGAGGGGTCCAGAGACGCTGGGCATCTGCGTCACGCGGGACCTGCCATCACAGTACTTCCAGGACCAGCAAAATGTCAAATTTCCACCGCTTTTCAGCCTCCATACAAGTCTTCCAAGAATTCTGGAGTCATGTCATGAGATGGGCTCCTAGGCCCTTACGTGCCCACTTTGCACGTGCCAAAGGGCCTTCACTCTGTCAGCCCCTCAGGCCGTGGGGAGGGGCGGCCACACAAAACAGTGATTCCAGGACCGTACACAGTGGTGCATACTATGAGACAGGCAAGCGGTGGGTGCGATGGAGACCCAGGACCCCGTACCCACGGCCGGTGGTGCGCGGCAGGGCGTGTGCCAGCAAAGTCTTCCTAAAAACCGGGCCTGTAATGAGTCTGAAAGAATGAGCAGGCACAACAGGTACCGACGGGGACAAGAAAGACGGGCCCCAGGGCGCGCACAGCGCTAGGGAAGGCGAGAAGCATGGACGAGGGGCCACACCCCTGCCTGTGCTGCAGGGGCCTGCAGTGTAAGGAAACGGGAGACCCTGGAAGCCTGTACGAGGAAGAGGAAAGGTCAGGCCTGCCTCGTCCCCGCAGAGGGCGCGCCGAGGGCTCCGGAAGCAGGCAGACGAGGGCGTGCCTCCGGCTGCGACGTCCCAGAGCCACACGACTTCGGCGGGTACGCAATGCCACCCGCCTGATTCTCTCAGCGACACGATGCTCCCACTCCTAGCGCTGCTGCATTAGAGGGTGTCATGAGGTAACGAGCCGGATACACAGCAATCAAACATGGAAGCTCTCGGGGCGCCTGGGTGGCTCAGTCGGTTAAACATCCAACTCGTGATTTTGGCTCAGGTCAGGATCTCGCGGTTTCCTGTGTTCGAGCCCCATATCGGGCTCTGCATGGGCAGCACGGAGCCTGCTTGGGAATCTCTCTCTCTCCCTCTCCGTCTGCCCCTCCCACACACACACTGTCTCTGTCTCTTTCAACATAAATAATAAATAAATAAATTAAATAAATAAATAAATAAATAAAACTTCAAAAAAATTAAAAAAGAAAATGGAATCTGTTGTCAAGAACTACATTTAGGATGCAAGCGGTAGAAAATGCCAGCAGTGAGGTGCCTGTCGGGCGCCTGCCTTACCTGACGATGGGCAGCTTGGTGAAGGGCACCGGCGGCAGGCTGGGCCCACCTGGGAGGGTGAGGATTTCCATGGTCCCAGGACATTTGCACGTGTAGTTCTCCAGGCTCTGAGTCACGTCTTTCTTTTCTGAAGAGAAAATAAAAACCAAATGAAGGTCAATTAAATAAAAGGAGGACTCTTCGGGTTTGGGGTGTTTTTTGGTTGTTTTTTGAGCAAAATAAAATTCTTAACCCAATCCATGCCAGTCCATGGAATCCAATCTTCTGACAGAAATCAACAGGTGCTGATCACAAGATAACAAAAGAAAACAGATGCTTTATTCACTTCATTTAAATAATCACTCTGTTTAGGGGCACATGGATAAAAAGGAAGTTGAATTACTGTCTTCTAGAAGATTTCATTTCCCAAGAGAATAAATCCCTACCAAATTCCAAGACAGTCAGTAGGTGGGCAGGACTGGAGAACTGGTGTATTTTATTACCTGATAAATATTTTTCCAGAGGTTACTAGGTACCAAGCCAAATGCCAGGCCCTTTCCCCGAGGAATCTATATTCCATCTGCATAATAGATATTTAAGGGAATAATTACAAACCCAGACTATAGTGCTCCGCCCCACCCCCATCCCTTGGTGGGGAGGGAGGAAAACAGGATACAGGGAATGCTTGCTCCCTGTCCTCAACGCACTGTGAACACAGGCTCACAGATCCCGGAACTCTCCAGAGCTCAAGAGCACGTAACACATGCCAGGAAGTGTAATTACTCAGGAAGGCAGGCATCACAATGCCCTTCATACAAATGGAAAAGCTGAGAACAAACCAAGTCCAAGGGCTTGTCAAAGATGTGTTCAGACCTAAGCCTGAGGTCTCCTCGCTGATCCCTTTGGAAGGATTAAGGAAGTGGGAAAGGGAGTTCACTCCTTCTGGCTTGCATTTTCTCTGCCAACACTTGCAGAGAAAGGTGGAGGCCTTGGGGACAGTGGTGACAGAGGGACACCACTCCCAGGAGTTGCCTCAGCTTCGATGAATGGCTCGGTCACGCTGGTCCAAGGTGCGATCGCCTTAGGGGAATTCATTCAACCAGAGCCAACCCTCCGATCTGAAGAAACTACTAAGGATGGAAAGAGGTAAAGCATTAAAAAGCAGTGACTGGCAGGGCCCACTGGGGGGCTCAGGCAGCTCAGCGTCCAACTTCAGCTCAGGTCATGATCTCACAATTCATGAGTTCAAGCCCCGCATCAGGCTCTGTGCTGACAGCTCAGACCCTGGAGCCTGCTTCAGATTCTGTGTTTCCCCCCTCTCTCTCTCTGCCCCTCCCCTGCTCATTCTCATACTCTCTCTCTCTTTCTCAAAAGTAAAAAGTAAACTACAATAAAGCAGTGGCTGGCGGACGTGAGCACCGCGTGCAGAGACACGGGGAGGGCTGACGGTCATCACACAGCCACACTGCAGGGAAAGGACACGAGGTTGCCGGGGACCAGGCACAGTGCTCCTCCAGGACTGGGACCATAAGTAGCAAATCTTCAGGCAAGGACATGTATCTTAACTGGGAAGCTTCGGCCACAGGCCCCTTCTGTGTCTAAGTATCCTTCTCCGGGGAACAGGAAGGCAGGAAAACCGGAATTAATTTTGGATACAACACTGTAATGTTAATCTGCACTACGAACAAAATTCTTTAAATAATGAAATCGTCTTCAACATACAGGTGATAAATGTCCTGAAGGGCTCCAGGCGATGGCGTGTAAATGACCTCATTTGCCTAATACTGGGCGCAGCGCGGGTGGCTTCAGTCTCTTACTAGGTTGAACTATGCCCTCTGAGCAAACCCTGCTGAACTGAAGATGGAAAGAAATCCACCTGTGAAGCCTACTGCCACCTGCAAAGTCATCCAGGAAGCGCGTCCATAGCACGTGCCGCGGCTTGGCCGCGGAGGAGACAGTGCCCACGGCGAGGGCCAGCGGGGAGCACCTCCTGCAGGGACCCGGATGTCCTCATTCACGTGCTCATCCACTCAACCCTCATCGAACAAGTACTGCGTGCCCATGGCATCAGGCGCCACTCGTGAAGAAGCACTGCAGGCTCAACTTTTAGGGTGTCACAAGCTAAAAGAGAACACGAGGGGCGCCTGGGCGACTCGGTCAGTTAAGTGTCTGACTTTGGCTCAAGTCATGATCTCACGTTCATGGGTTCGAGTCCTATGTCAGGCTCTGTGCTCTAGCTTGGAGTGTGGACCCTGCAGCCTGCTTTAGAGTCTGTGTGTGTGTGTGTGTGTGTGTGTGTGTGTGTGTGTGTCTCTCTCTCTCTCTCTCCCTCTCTCCGCCACTCCCACTCTGTCTCTCTTTCCAAAATGAATAAACAGGGGCGCCTGGGTGGCTCAGTCAACTGAGTGTCTGACTTCAGCTCGGGTCATGATCTCACAGTTTGTGGGTTCGGGCCCCGCGTTGGGCTCTGTGCTGACTGCTGGCTCAGAGCCTGGAGCCTGCTTTGGATTCTGTGTCTCCTTCTCTCTCTGTCCCTCCTCCTTCTATGTTCTGTGTCTGTCTCTCAATAATAAATAAATGTAAAAAAAAATTTTTTTAATGAATAAACATTAAAGAGAGAGAGAAGGAAGGAAGGAAGGAAGGAAGGAAGGAAGGAAGAAAAGAAAAGAAAAGAAAAGAAAAGGAAAGGAAAGGAAAGGAAAGGAAAGGAAAGGAAAGGAAAGGAAAGGAAAGGAAAGAAAGAAAGAAAGAAAGCAAGCAAGCAAACAAACACAATGTCAAAACAGAACACTATAATTCCTCGTAAGTGACTTCACAGAGGCAGGACCAGAGTGTGACAGAAGAGCATGCCAGAAACCTGATTCTGCTGATAAGAAAGCTTCATAAAGAAGAGGTAACATGTGGTCTCTGTCGAGGGGAACAGATCTGGAAGCAAACCCCATGAGTACTTGGAGGTTTTACTATGTTGTAGGGAAGGAATGACTAGAATAAGCACATGCGGCTACTGAAGAAATCACGTGTGAGGTGTGAGGTGCACAGTGGGGGTGGGGGAGGTGGAAGACTAAGGACATAGACTGAACACCAATGTATCGTTATAAGTTGTATGCGCACAATGAAACTTGACAGAGAAGCTGCCTTCGGCACGTGCAGGAGGAAGCAGGCTAGGACTGAGAACGTGAAAAGGGCTGGCGGGTGCAGGCAGCTCAGGGGCTCCAGATCGAAACAGCAAAGTAGACTGTGACATGGGGTGCAGTGGGAGGGGGGTGCTGGCTTTCCAGGGCGGTGACCACCAAATATTTCACACGCGCCTCCCACATGCGTCCCTCTCTGGGAGGAAGGACAACTCAGAGACTCTTGACCCTTGCTGCAGGGACCTCACTGCTGAGGTCAGACTCGGAGGACAGACCTGAGTCTGCCAGGCAGGGAAGGAAGGCCTCTGTCCAGGGAAGGAAAGGAGAGGTGCTCAGAGGCGAGAAACAGCGGGCGTGCTCAGGGTCCACTTTAGTTTGTGCTTTGTCCTGCCTTCAAGGGAAGCCAGCACTGCTGCAGCACTAGGTGGGCCTTACCTGAGCAGCTGTGGTTCCCCACAGTGACACGTACTGAGCGCGCAGCCACGTGCCCAGAGCCGTGCCAGGTGCTCAGATCACAGGGTCTGTAAGGAAGAGACCCTGGTAGATAGTAGAACTTCAATCTTTTTGATCCAATTATGTACGCGATCCCCTCCCACAAAGTTCCTGCCAGAGAGGGGTGGAGGCCTCATCATCCCACTTGTAAAGGTGATAAACATTAGGTTGGTGACCACCTGGGAGATGGGATTGTAGATCAATAGGAAATGCTACCAAAATGATTTATTAATTTTTAAGTGTAATATTAAACACCATGGCTATCCTAAGCCCATGAAATGAAATGTGTAAAATGAAATGTCTTGGGGTTTTTAAAAAATAATTCAGCAAACAGAAAAAGTAAGAGATGAAGTAAATGTATAAAAATCTTGCTAAGCATTGACTGGTACATGGGAATTCATTTCAATGCTCTTTGAACCTTTATGTTTGAGAATGTGTCACAGCAGAAATACTTAATGAGCTTGGGGAGGTGAAATGATTTCCTCAAGAGAGGAACAGAGCTGGGGTTCTGGAATTCGGATCCGACGTGACAGAGTTTGACCAGAGACACCCCGGGGTCGCAGTGATGCAAACAGTAGGGCTCGGGGCCACAGTGGCACGATCCAGTGTGCCGCACGCCCAGCCGGAATGAAGCTCGTGACCAATCCCAGCGTTGTTGTACGCGTAGGATCTGGTCAGAGGGAAGCAAGAATTTCTTAATTTATCCCGCTAAAAATCAACTGCCTTAGTCTGCCCTGGCCGCCATAACAAAATAGCACAAAGGGGGTGACTCACACCACAAACACTTGTCTCCCACGGCTCTGCGGGCTGTGGAGGCCCAGATCGGGGCGCCACAGACTCAGTCCCAGGTGAGAGCCTGTGCGGTGGCCTGCGGCTTCTACGCTCCCACTGAGCCCCACAAGGCCCCCTCCCCCCGCACGGGCGTCTCTTCCTGTCAGGGCACCAATCCCACATGGAGGGCCCCCCCTGAAGCCCCGATGTCCACCTGTTACCTCCCAATGACCACGCCCTCGAGTGCAGTCACACTGGGGGTTAGGGCCTCAACATGTGACTCTGGAGGGAGACACATCCAGCCCATAACGTCACTATAAACCTTGTCCAACTTGATCAGAAGACCCAACCGTTCATTTCACTCGAGCCTGAGCACCTAATACCCTTGAGAGTTATTTCTCCATCCCAAAAATTAAAGAAATCATGCAGAGAAAACATTTTTAAAGAAAGCCCAGTAGCTACCTAAGTGTGCGGTTTCTTATAGAAGCAGAAAATATGATCACCCAAACTTGTGATCATTAAAAAAAAAAAAAAGCCACAGGCCACCTGCCATCTCAAGGGTTGACCCTGGCACAAAAGCCAGCACGTCCTGATTTCACAGCTCAGCTCCTTGGGCTCCTTCCACGTAATAATGTGAGACAACCATGTTTGCATAAATCAGGTACGATGTTCTAAACGGAGAGAAGAGAAGGTGAGGAGCCTGAAATTGAGTCCTCCATTAAGAGCAACCTCGGGCTGCACGTAACGCCAGTTC